TGACAAATAACCAAGTTGGCTCCAGAGTCTTTCAGGTGTTGGATCATCTCTGTGAACTTCTCTCTTTCATAATCTTGCAGCTTCTTGAACTCCTCAACCGATGTAATGTCGAGCTTATGCTTCGTCTTCGGCTTGGGGGGCTCGAACGGGCAGGTCAAAATTGCCAATTTAGCATCCTTGACTTCATCGGGCATCTGAGGGTGAGAGAAGTCCTTATCGACAATAACACCCTTGACAAGCAGAGAATCTTCGAGGGCACCGCCCACTTTTCCGTCGACCTTGATCAACTCGAAATCGACATCTTTACGTTCGAGATCTGCAACGGAGAGGACGGCATCGATGGCGATCTTGGCGAACTGATCGTGAGACTTGGAAACACTAACGACCATTAGCATCGGAGACGGGCAATATAACGAAGCAGGAATAACCGTCGTACATTTTGCTGCCCAGACTAGTCTTTGCAACCTTCAGTAGGTTGGAAGTGTCTTCCTTGGTAAAAGGGATCTCGTCACTAATCTTATCGAGCTCTGCAACCGCAATCTCACAGGCTTGATCATAGCCATCTGCGATCCGAATTGGGTGGATGCCCTTATCGATCAGGTCAGATGCCTGCTCCAACATGGCTGCCGCCAGGACGACAACACCCGTTGTTCCATCGCCGATTTCTTCATCTTGAGACTTCGATAGTTCCACTAGCAGCTTAGCAACATTGTTTGTGATTTCCATCTTCAGAAACCTCCAAGTTAGCCATCATCAAGTGAACGGCGGCGGCACTGAGGACGAACCTGGGACAGAATGGTTGCGCCGTCGTTGGTCACGGTGATATCGCCATCTGGGGAAATAAGAATCTTGTCAAGACCACGAGGACCCTAGATCGCTCTTTAGATGCTGTCAAAAAGGTAATTCCACGTCCAGATCATACCAGAGAAGTCTTGACAATGTTGGCAACGGTTTTGGCCGCAACAATATGTGATTTCACAGCATCGGTGCCGTGTTGTCTCTTCTTCTTTCCCTGGCTATCAAAATCCATCATATCAGCTATTTGCCCTGAGAGAATCGTAATCCTCCGCATATTAAAAGTGTTGGTCCGCAACGTACTCTCGAACGACGATGAACGGCCGGCCCTGTTCATCTTTCATCACAGAAGCTGTCGGACTGTCAGCGGAGTCTCCGAAGGCATATGATCATTGATATCACGGCAAGATTCTACCTTGAGACAAATCAAGCTCTATATAGAGGAGATTGAAAACGTTAGTACATCGACTTCCAATGAGGGGCACGGAAGACATACGCATCGCCATTTTGTCGGTCTGCCACACGGCAGGAGTCCAAATTCAAAAAATTTGGAGAACGCAAGGCACGCAACGGTAGTATAAGAATGGTTCCCCAAAGCACGTTATCAAAGCGACGTGGGGAGTTCAGGGGTTTGGACACTCTTTCACACTGAACGGGGTCTTTTTTAGAAATTCTGGAGATGTTCTGATGTCCCAGTTGGGCTAGTGAGCTGCTTTCCATATCGGGTATAGCGCCAATTCACATCCATTCACGCGACTGCGCGACTGGTCCGTTCTAAATAGCATTGAAAGCAACCATTATCATCAATTCCTTCTGTGCGCCAGTCTCCATAAGGTTGACATAGCAATCTATTCTAGCAAGTTCTGAATCATATTTGCCAAGCTGTTTTCTCGAATTCTCGCACTCACGTCTTCTTTTCGCCGAACAATGCCGCGTAAGTGATAAATTGACTTAGTCGCACTTGAGATCCCGCGTAGAGTTGACAATCGCATAGCGCCCGTAGAGAACCCTTCCGACGACGAGTCGACCGGAGAATCTATCCCTTATAATGATGCGAAAGAAGACCATGACTCAGGCGCCGAAAACCAGGAAGACAATGATGAGGAGGTGGAGGAGGATGAGGAGGGCGTGTGAGTTACGATGCGCAGCGACCACTGACGATCGGCGCTGACAGGAGCAGCTATGTCGTTGAAAAGATTCTCGGTCATGACTTCGCGAAGAATGTGTGCATAATCATACCCCCTCGCATCGCATTGTCGCAAATAGAGTTGCCATAGCTAATGCTGAGATAGGGAACTCTCCTCCTGCAAGTGAAATGGAAAGGATACGATGACCCTGCAGATGAGACCATGGAGCCGGAGGAGAACCTGCTGTATGTTTCTGCCTGGCTTTGGAATCCGTCTTATATACCAATTGATTTATACTAGGGAGGGCGCAAAAGATCTAGTAGAAGAATACTACCGTGCCCAAGGTGGTCGGCCTGAGAAACCCCAACGGGGCAAGCGCAAGTCCATGACTGGGCCAAAGCAGACATCAGAGAAAAGTGAACCTAAAAGGCGAAGAAAGTCCCGAGCGGAAGCTGCTACCGAAACTCCAGATGAAGATGATGCGGATCTGCCTGATTGGGTTCCCCGGTCTAAGAACTGGGAGAACGAGGTACAAAGTGTTGACACAATCCTGCGCGATGCGGAAACTTCGACTTTAATTGCATATCTCCACTGGAAGAATGGAAAGAAGTCCAAGGTCTCCCTTGAGACCTGTTATGAGAAATGCCCCAGAAAGGTAAGTTTACCGGTCCCATATATGCTTTGAGATACTAATGTTGAAAAGATGCTCAAATTTTACGAGGAGCATTTGTAAGTTGTCTGATTTAGATGAGAAAAGCTGCCTGATTCTAACCGTTATTAGGGTTTTTAAGGAAGGTTGAATTCAGTTTATACTAACGTTCTTTGTTAACTTCCTTTTTCTTGTCCTTTTCTAACCTCGATGTGTAATTGGTTTAATTCAAGATACCTGTCTAATATCGTCGGGAGGTGAGAGGCAGTATTTTTTTCTAGACAGTACTGTTTGATCACAGTGCATAAATGGGTGTTCCACTGGTGTTTTCAATTGATCCATGAACTCTGTTGGCAGTTGGTATCTTTGGGAAATGGAAAATAACAGGAAGGGGAAAGAGAGGAAAACAGAAAACAAAAAAAAGGTCATCAACATAACACCTCAGGGTTCCCACATATCTTTACATCATCCCGAACAACGTTATATCTCCGTCGACGATTATTGTGCTTTTAAGTCTCGGTGTATTTATGCCGTCAGAATCTCAGCTGTCTGTCTCATCGAGACCAGCAGCTCTTGCCATTCCAAGATATTCCCACCGACTGTTAAAGGCATCCGAGCCATGCTTCTTCAAGACCTGTTCGATAGTTCGCGTCTCTTTCGCCTCAAAACACCTGTCGTCTTCAGCGGTCCACACTCCAGGCATATTGTCGGGAATGCCTTTTCCTGCAATCAGATAGTCTAGGACCTGATCGGCAAGATACGGGTCCATGCTAGTGCAGCGTAAAGCCTGGATTATTTGCTCCTCGTTTTCTGCTCTCCCTGTTTGCAGACGATGATCAATCCACGTGTCGATGTCTTGCTCTAGCGGCTCTTCAGGCTCGGGTTCTGGGCTTGAGGGTAGGAAAGGCAGTTCTAGAAATAAGGGATCAATGGCCTTTTGTGGATCATGGTCCTGGGTCTCTGTCTTGTGGTATTGTACAGGTTCTGATATGTTCGTGGCAGGGTCGTGAGCGATATGTGCCTCATTATCAACTGAGATTGAGGGTGTTGGAGTCCTTTCAATATGTGAAGATTTGCTTTGTTGTGCATGTATCATAGTGGGAATCAATTCTGTGGGTGTCTTGTCAATCGCTCTCCTCTTTTGACTCGTGAGGTGCGCTCCGTTCAATTCGAGATCAGGGTTGTGTTCCGGTGTACGTTTTCGTTTCTTATCACCTAGCATATAGATAACCGGATTATCGTCGTGGGATTGCGTCCTATGTGACCTTGGTGAGGATTGCTCTCTTTGTGTGACTTGCTGGTTGCCGTCCTTCTCAGCGGACGCGGGAAGATTTGGTTTCGGCATACCCCCCGGACGCGGGAGCCCACGAAGCCTTCTTCGATATCGGTCACGATATGACTGATAGGTGTGGCGGGGGTTCTGTATAGAATGAAATGTAAGACTCCAAAGATGGTATTTACATGAGTCTGGTATCAGGAGGTGAATTACCTGCGTAGCTAATTCCTGATAAATTTTATTGCCTCCTATGGCGGCGTTGGGGTCTTTCTCATACTCTGCCATCCGATCCCATAGCCACTGGTCATCTTCCAGAGTATATGGGATCGGATGACTTCTGGTTGGAATATTTGTGGCCCCGACAGGGCGAGCTGCGGATGGTCCAGCTCTGTGATTCTGGAGATCCTCTAGCTTTCTATTACGAACAGACCACTCAACGAACCGATACGAATACCTGCCAAATGGTCAGCAGGAGTAAATGAATTTCAAGGAAAGAAAAGTTAGGATAGGAAAAGCTCAAGAATATACAGTCAACTCACGTGTCCGGTGGAAGATTTTTTCTGGTATGGTCAACCAACTTGATATCCGCATCCTTCTCATGGAGCCTTACGACACCACCATGTTGCTATATATACCCATTAGATGAAAAATGCGCGTATAATTGCAACTGAAGATAATTACCTCAATAAGGTCTTTGAATCTACTTCGTTGGGGAACATTGTGTGATAACCAGAATTGCTTCCCCTGGAACAGTGGTCCAGGAGAAGCCATAGAGCTTTTCTTCCCCATGGCACTGTTCCCTAACTTTCGTCTCAGGAAGCTATATCCTGCCTAATACAGTGAGTCCAACCATCCCCTGCTCCTGATTAAAGGTACGGGCTTCCAACCGCGTTTGTGGTACGCGTGATCACGTGTAGATATGCCAGTGAAGGTTTGTACATGCGGCAAAGGCACGTTGAATACGAGATGATACTCAGTTGGGTTCCAAAGGATACTTGTCTGTATTGTAAGTTGTTCCAAAACCTAAACCAGGCGCCTTGAAAGCCAGGGGTGTGGCTGTCTCAGTATAGAAAGAGCCATGGGTCATACTGACAAAGTGGTACATTTGATATAGGCTTATATATTTTTAGAAAGTCAATATCATCACAGTTCAGGGGCGGTAGCTTAGTGGTAGAGCGCAAGATTGCAATATACGGCCATTCAATGGTCGTTTGAAAAACATTGCGACTATCTTGAGGTCGCCGGTTCGATCCCGGCCCGTCCCTTATTTCTTTTTTTACCCGTAAATCCTCCTCTCAAACATTGGTTAAAAGATAGTCAGTCTATATTCAGAAATATATATCGGTGGTCGGCAGCCTAAAGGAATTTTCAGCCTAAAGGAAAAAAATCAATTTCTTACCTTTTTGAAGCCATACAAACCACAAAAAATGCCTAAAACATCTAAAATTCCAGATTCACGTGTAGATAAGGCCGTTGAAGCTGCCCGTCTTGAAAGAAATCCTAATATTGCAAAGATCGCGCGAGATTTCGGAGTTTCTTATCGTACACTCCACGGCCGTATATATGACAGGAGAAAGCCTCATATAGCTCGAACTGCACCAAATAAAGCGCTAAATCAGTATCAAGAGGCTGCCTTAAGGCAGTGGATTGCTAAAATGCGTGATATTCATCTCCCAGTGACAATATCATTGCTTTTAAAGTGGGCGAATCTTACCGTACAGCGCGATAATCCTACACAGAGCGTCAGCCGATCATGGGCGTACCGCTTTTCTAAAAGTCTTCCTCCTGATCTTGAATTAAGCCCTGTAATTCAAAGACCAAAGGAGAAGAAGCGCTTAGATACAGAAGATGTTGGACAGCTTCAGTTCTGGTATAATCAGCTTACCAACTTGCTTAAAAATGTCCCTGCTCGTCTCGTGTATAATTTTGATAAATACAGCTTTCAACCAGACAATAAAAAGTCTTAAAAAGTTCTTAATACAAAGAGAAAGGTTTCTAATCTCCCTGAAGCTGAGATTACAGAGAATATTACTGCGCTTGAGTGTATTGCTGCAGACGGCTGAATTATAACTCCGCTCTTTATTTTCAAAGGAAAGAAATTCATGGAGGTCTGGTACAATGAAGAAATCCCCGACTATTATACTGCAGTCATCGAGAAAGGCTATGTAAACAATGAAATCGCTCTTAAATGGCTTCAAAAGTTCCACGAAGAGACTAAAGATCGTACAAAAAAAAGAGAAAAACGTGTACTTATCTTCGACAGCCATACAACTCATAAAACAGTTGAATTTATTCAACTCTGTGAGACATATAAGATTCTTCCTTTTTGTTTCCGGTCTCATACAACACATCTCTGTCAACCGCTTGATGAAAAGCCCTTTCTTACATATAAAACGCATTTTTGTACTGCGAATAATCTCATTGCGCAGTGGTGTGGAACCCCGAGAGATAAAGCAAATTTTCTACGTGATATTGTCGCCGTACATGATAAGACTTTCAATCCACGTCTTATTCGCAACTTCTTTAAAGAACGCGGCATCTTTCCTCCAGATGGATCTTCAATTATTAAAGCTATTCAGAATGCTTTACCATCTATATCAGAGATCTCTGCACCCGATCTATCTGTGTACAGAGAGACTACGCCGCCTCCAAATCCTTAGTCTTCAAGTATAGAGAATACACCTCCGAAAAGCGCTCAGCAGGTTGAAAAGAATCAGAAAAAGCTATTTAAGCTTCTTAATAATAATACACCAGATAATTCTTGTATTGAGCGCTATCTTGACCGCTTATTTCATCAACAAAAGCTTCAATCTGAACAACTTGCTGTTATGAATTCAACTCTTAAGCGTATTGAGGCCGCGCAGACTTCCCGAAGCCGTAAAAAGACTAAGCAAGAGATTCAACGTCTTGGGAACAGTGGTATACTGCATGTAAAGAATGCGAATCGGTCTATTGCAGACAGAAAGGCCAAAGAGAATGAAAAAAAGAAGAAAGCAGCGGATAAAGCGTATTTCAAGGTGTACAGTCATCTCCCACCAGCGCCTTGTATAGAAAATAAAACTACGGCTTCGGATACAAGATTGGCAGAGAAATCAGGCGATCAGCTTTTTTTTATTGATTCTACAGACATTTAGTGGTGATAATATGAATTGCTTCATTTTTTTCCTTTAGGCTGAAAATTCCTTTAGGCTGCCGACCACCCACCGGCGGAAGGCGGTGGGTGGTCGGAAGCCGCCACTGATATATATATATGTATCCTGGTGTCCTTACTACTACTACGTTGTATTTCTTCAGTGAAATGAAAAACAACTTGAAATGACCTGAAAGTTTGTCACGTGCAGATTGTAGATAACTCCTGTATACAGTCAGTCTATCCTAAATTTGGACTTGGCTTTTTTAACTACTCCGTAGATATCGTCGTTCCCACCATCATGTCTACCGCGTAGTGCCGAGGCTTAGACTTATCCCCTCTGCGCCGGCCAACGGGTATATTGGGTCCAACATACGACCAGCGTACCGAAGAAGCAACCATGGGGCTCCTTAGGACCATCGCTTTAGTGATTCTAGGCATTTCGGGCTTCACATTTGTCGCGCTTTTTGGGAAGTTGCCTGCATTCCGGTAAGGTGACGAGGCCTGTTTTGAGTGAGTGCAATGACTGATGAACGTTTCACACAGCAAAACCCCTATTGGCTTACTGCATAGGGTTGTTTGCATATACATTCCGAGTGCAATATCTTCCCTTGATGCACGCCTGTTAGACGGTCGACTTGTGTACTGTTGGAATACATCTGGTAGCTATATATTCCACGAGAATCATCCACTGGTGCTTGTAAGTTTTTTGACCAATGGATCATCCCCCGCGCTTTGTTGATATCCCCAATAGATATTCTTTGCGTCGCTCCTCATAACAGGGCAGAGCATGTTCATCCCAAGTGCATGGCCCAGGGTCTCCACGGCCCATAGGCTCTGCATGCCCATTGCTGCCACGTTGCCATATTTCTTTCTCTATAAGAGCATTGTCACAAAATCTTTCATCACCCCCAAAAACCACGCGCAAGAAATGGAACGCTATCCTTATGATAAAGTCATCTTTCACCCAGGTCGCTACTGCAGCACATGTGAGTTTGACAAGCCGGCACGGAGTAAGCATTGCAGCTTCTGCAGGGCATGCGTTTCTCGACACGACCACCATTGTGTATGGCTGATGAATTGCGTCGGACTGAATAACTATCGCTATTTTCTGGCCCTAATTTTCTCACTCTCTATAATGCTGATCTACGGTTCATGCATTGGCTTCTCCCTTCTGTCTCAGTCATGGGAGAAGTTGATCCCGCTAGACTCACCGTTGCGGACAACAAGACAGAGTTGGACAATGTCTTTCAACGTATGGACTATTGTGATTTCGACAGATCTCCGTATTGGAGGCGTTACATCGTTGATGTTCATGACAGCACCGTTGGCGATGGCTTTTCTCGTTTACCACACCTACCTTATCTGGGCCGGCATGACGACAAACGAGAGCGCGAAGTGGTCTGATTGGAAAGAGGACGTCGCTGATGGTATGGTTTTCAAATCTACTAAGGCGGAGGCCTATGGAAACTCGCCTTTGCTGCGCGAATATCAAAGCCCGCAAACATACTGGCCGGTACATAGTGACCAGGTGCTTGTTCTTACGGAAGGTGAGCCCCCGAGGGTGGGCTTCGTATTCTCACTCGATTCCAACGAGATTAGGCAGCCCAATGATGGGGAGGCACCTATTGATCATAAATGGACCCCAGTGCGCAGTATGAGGGAGATTGACAATATCTATGATCTTGGATTTTGGGATAATCTACGCCACTCCTTTGGATTACGTGCTCGGCGAAAGATGTCATAAGATTCTGCATGGATAACATACTCAAATATATGGATACGTTTAGTTACTTAGTAGCTTGACTAAATCCTTTGAGCATTACTAGGACTGCTATATTAGTTAACTACCTATGTCTCATTAGAGGCAGTTGGCCAATCATATTGCGCGGCATACTTGTGGGAGTCGGCGGGACCGGAGCCGGAAAAATTCACTTTTCAATGCGGCGTTTCTGTCTTCCCCGCCCAATTTGTTATCCTAAGTCAACGAATTTTGTCGCATAGTTTTTGTGAGCTTCCTCACAGGTCCTGTCAAGATGGCTGACCGGAATTCTGCGGACATAAAGCCAAAATGTACCCCAGCCGAGCTCATGCTGAAGGTCATCCTGACGGGAACATTAAGTCACTATGAGACTCGCGGGATGATTGACGATAAACGGCTCGAGCATATGTTATCTGCCGGGAAACAGATCTTGTACAAGACACACCAGGAGAGCGATGTTAGGTAGTGCTCCTTTCACTTTCTGGTCCATATAATCGCTTCGCTATATATGTACTAATTTTATTTTCATGATAGACATAATCTAGGCCTGTCACCAGACATTTGGCAGGGCTTTACGGATGTTTTGACAAAAGCAATCCCCGTTTTAGAATCACAGTCATTTGCATGGAAATGCCCTCCGACTGCGAATTACGACCATTCCTCCTCGAACTTGATAGCCTACAATTACTTTTCGCTTGTCAAGGACATCGAACGTCTAAATGATCTGTGTACGATCGCCCGCAACCTCCTCGCGACAACAAAGAAAGCACAGAATATGGCGGCGGAAAAAGGATTCGATCAAAGGATTCTAGCATTGGTAGACACGTGTGTTAGAGTGACTGCCCGCGGGTTCGACGGTGAAACGAATGCAAGGAATGAAGAGCGCTGGCAGAAAGTGGTCAACCTCTACAAGCGCTTGTTGATCACATGTCTTCAATTCCTGCACAACTTTATCATGCACAATGAACAACGAAAGATGGTACTCTGGTTGGATCTTTTCGGATACCACTCCACTGGAGATTCGAATATCATTCAACCTAGAGAGCCGCTAGACCCGGCCAGTGGTCAGCCTGAGGGAGCGGCGCCAATTGTCAAGACTGGTGAGAGAATAGTGAATCCCCCTATTAGGGCTCTTTACGACCAGACGGCAGAAGACTTGCTCCTGGAGACTATCTCTAACTTCCCGAGAGAGCCAGCGACGATCAAAGAAGAAGCAGCAATGTTACTTCTCGCAAACATTAAAGACCACATGGAGAAGCTTCTTGGGCGCGACTTAACAGCAATCCAAGAAATGGGCAAGGATCCAGAGCAAGTCAAAGAGATCCGTGCTGCTCTTACGGCGATACTAGGTGCAAAGGTTGACGGATTCTCGG